CCGCTCCCCAGCGGAGGCCGAGGGTGGTTTGTCACGCTGGGCTGTAACGTGCGGGGGGGCTGCGCGGGCAGCGCTGGTGGGTGCTGGTGCGTGCTGGTGCTGCCCATTCCGCAGAGCAGTGCGCTGAGCGCACCGCGACGCTGCGGGAGAAGCGGTGGGACACGGAAGGTACGTCCTGCTCCGTTCTAGCTCCCTGCGTTCGGACACAGGTACAGAAAATCGAAATCCAGCCTTCTCCACAAAGAAAAAGCTGTTCTCAAGGGTATCCATATTTGTTTTTCGTTTTCTCCTCGGAGTATGTGCTGTAGTTGATCCTCAGAAACTTCTCAAGGGCAATTAAAGTGAGTCAGGCTCTGGGAGCATTCGTTGAGCTGAACCTCATCATTCTCTTTCTACCCAGCTGAGTCAGAAGAAGTGCTTAGTGAAGGATCTGAGGAGGTTTCGGAAGCAGTTAGAAAAAGAAGCAGGAAAGCTTGAGGCAACAAAATGTGCCTTTATTCCAAAGACCTTCAAAATGCCTTCAGAGTAGTATTTGTTTGTGGAAGAGTTTCGCAAGAATCCTGGCATCGCTTGGATTGTGAAACTGGTATGTGTGTGCTCTCCCAAGGAAAGTGAGACAGAAGAACGGATGTCTTCGTTCTGCTGAGGGAGAGGAAAATACGCAGGAAATCCACAGGAAGAACTGGGCAGAGCAAGGTGGCTGGAAGCAGTGATGCTCCTGGCCAGTTTCCTGCTCAACACACGCTACCAAAACACTTCTCCTTGTGTAACAGTTTATTTCAGCAGTCAAAAGACAGCTCAGTGTATTTGCAGAGCCAAAGTTAACTCAGTGGTGAAGGTACAAAGAGCAGAGTCCTCGTGTGGAGGAACAGAGTGTGCTCCCAGGGGTTCTCGCTGTGGGGTCATGGCCAAGTTCATGCTCTGAAATCTTTCAGTTTGGCTGCAGGTGTGCAAGAAGGTGGGTGTCTGTGCAGGGCAGCTGTCTAATTGGGCTTCTGGTTAAGCAGCGTTCTAGGGCAGCCCCTAAAGAAGGAGCTATGAAAACATCTGTTTGGTTTTAGGGTGATCCCACTGTGTTACATATCAGCTGGTTGGCATTTGCATTTGGTTGGCATTAGCTTCTTTCTGCTCTGCAGTTAGAGACCCGAAGGGCAGCCTCGTGCTCTGAACCACGTTTGTCCCCCCCAGACCTACAGCGGTGCTGAACGCAGCAACTTCTGCTTCAGCCAGTGTCCCGGGGACCGAGGAAAAACTGTGTTTCCATTAGAAATTCCGATAACACAACGTGATGCTGAGAAATGCCTTGCTTCTGCCAGATGATTCAAGCCAATTAACACGAAGTGCGTGGTGCGTAATTAAAAATACCGTGAGACCTGCGAGCGAGCAGCCGCTCTGCTTGGCGCAGCGGGGCTGGCGAGGAGGCTGGGACAGGAGGATCCGCCTCACCCTGAGTCAGGCCCGTGGGTAAGGGCACGCTTGTGAGAAGTGGATGGGAGGTAATTACGCAAACTAACATGGGAATTACAGCCGGGAGGGTAGCAGCTAGTGATTATCTAACTCTACAAATGGGAATGTGTTAATTGGCAACAAAACCCCTTATATTAAGCTGCTTTCATACCCTCAACTTCAATTAACAGGGTAAATAACCAGAACACAGTAAACAAGGATATATGAAAAGCCTGTGATTACTGAGATTATACCAACAACTTAAATGAAATACTTTGTGGCTGACCTCAAAACTCGCAGACAAGTAAAAATAAACCCCGTGTTACTCCGTCGGTCTGTGCTCTTGAGCGGCGCCGTGTTGCGATGTCTCGAGTTGCCTGCTCCCACACTCAGATGCAGCAGTAGGTCAGGACATGCGCGGTGCCACGTCCTGGGGCTGCAGGAGCCTGGACCTGCCTGGGAGGGTGCCCTGGGGAGCCTGGCTTCTCAGGTGGCTTATCTGGGCCACTCGTCACCCACTTCTCACGCATGGTGCAGCCTAGGCTGTCTTCAGGATTGTTCTGCTCTTGCTTGCTGTAGTTGTCTGACATCTTTCATGACTTTCCTATTTAAGTTCTTCTGCAACATACACAAATTGAAAATGTGACTTAACAAAATTCCCGACAACATATGTCACGTTACTTACATTTCTGCAAGCATGTGACAGAGTTTGTTTGTTCGGTGCTGCGGAACTTCCCCGTAGGCTGGCTGCCTGCTCTGCCCTTTCCTCCAGGAATCCTCCTGGCGCTTACAGATCTGAGCTTCTTGCACTAGAGAGATGTCGTTGGATCCCCCGCCCCATAACCTTAAATAAGTGTGCTTGCGTACAAAATGTGCTGAATCGGGTTGTGCAGGGCTTCTACACTGGCATTCTGGGAAAGAGCAGGAAACGCTAACGTTAAAGCCAGTAACTTTGCTCTTCCATCTGAGGTTGGCAGGTCACAAGGTGAAGGAATGTTCCTGTTCCGAAAACCGAAGGATATCATTGATTGAAGAAGGTGAGAACGACTCTCTGGCTTCTCCGTGGGGAATACCCAAGAGACACTTTGGGTTTTGGATCTCAGTTCATCCTCTCCTTCTGCCGATGACTTGTTCTGTTCTCCTGTGCCTGTCTTGTGCAATACTCCTTCACCGCTCCCCAGGGCAACAACAAAGTTTCTTACTGTGGCATTTCCCAAAAGGTCAGATACTTCATCTGGGATCTGACTTCCTACACTTTGTGTGCATGTTTGTAAATGAACTTCTGACCTCGGGTAAGTCGAACAGTGGGCAGCAATATCAGCGACTGCGCTGTGTCACACATTTCTCTGCACTTCAGAGGTTCAAAGTTTGACCTCAGAGTTTATGTCCCAGTGGCATCTGTCAGTGTAAACCACCGGTTTTATGCCAGAAATGGATTTCCTTGCCTTAACGCCCAGTTGCTCCGTTCCTCTTCTCCCAGTACAACCCCTGGAAGGCCTGGTTGTTCAGAGGTGGATCTCCTTGCTTTTCGAATCCACCATTGACTCTGAACAGCAGAGATGGTCGCTGTCTCCTGCCTGTCTGCGTGCCATGAAGCAGGGTAAGAAAAGGACTCTGCAGTTCTACTGCTTGGAGACGCATCAGATGAACCTTGTCGCTTCCACCTCCTGCAAACACCCACAGGATTCGCCTGTCCCTCGCTGCTGCTGTCACCCTGTCTCCCTCCTGTCTTTTTTCATCGGAAAACTGGTGTCACCGGATCACTGGAAATGTCAGTTTGACAAATCATCTAGGACCGAAGCTGAAATGTCAGTCCTGGTTTTATTGTTAGTGGTTGAATGTTGGCAGAAACTGCTTCCTCAGCTTTGCAGAACACAAGGACGAGGTGATTCACGGGGGAGAACGATTTGATTTCCTGCGTGCCACCCTTGCCAGTGGGTCGAGTTTGATAGCTTTCATTTGATTAACCCATCTTCCCAAAAGGTACCCCACCTCAATTTGATGGCTTAAGAGACAGGGAAATCCATCACTTCTCTCCGTGAAAGTTCAGCAGAGTTCATGCTTGCTCTGAATGATCAAAAGCCTTTCCAGAGCGGGGTACGGCACGCTGCCGCCGGTGAAGGCGCACTGGGGTTTGGAGACGTGCTGACATGAAGAGCTTCGTGCCAGCCGTGGGGTACAGTACTAGCTCAGGCCAGTTACTCTTTCGTTTTCCAGATTCCACGCTTGATTACTTCTGATTATTGTTTTTCCCTGCACTTTTTAGTAAGATATCATCGCGCAGTATTGGATTTAAGCTCAGATGGCTGAAGCCTGTGATTACAGACAGGAAAGATAATTAATTGGCACTGGGGCGGAAGAGGGCTGTTTAGAGTGAGAATTCTCTATTTGCTTGTTCAGCGTCTGTCTTCGGTCCTTATCTCTACTTCATGCCAGATGTTCATCTCACACACGTGGCAGTGTGAAAGACTGCAGCTGATGATGATCCCGGGGAGGTGAGGGGCACGCGCTGCCTGCAGACCGTTCCCCCCCTGCCTGGGGCTCTCCTGGCAGATGCAGGTGAGCTGCCCGCATCCTGCCATGCCCTGGGCCTGTGCTGCAGCACTGCACTGTGCTGCTGGGGCTCCTGATACCCATAAACGTGATGTCGGTGGTGGCAGCTTCAGGAGAGAGGCAGGGCGAGTGTTCTGCTGTAACGTTGCTTTGCAGCTGGCTGCACATCTGTAAGGCTGATCTTGTTGACTTTAAATGTAATAACTTTCTGGTTAGTCCTCTGTTGCTAGTCTGCTCCCTTCTATGAATCTCTTGTCTGTATGGAAAGGAGAGTCGTTGCAGTACCCTGATGGAAGATAAGATATTGATGGCTGTCAGGGAACTTCTCATGGGGACCTGAGGACCTTTTTTTCCTAAAGCCGTACAGTGGTCAAGCCTGAAGAGTTTAACTGCCTTGTGGGGCTGGTGGCCCCTACCTTCTGGTCTCTGCCTGTTTACTAAGAATTCTTGCTGGGCTGTAGAGACTGTGGAGTGACGACTGAAAAAAAACCCTGTGGCTAAATCTGTGGTCTTCTGTTGGGAACAGCTTTCTGTAATTGTGTTTGGATGTCTCAGGGCTGCGAGTGATTCAGCAGCTCGGACAGTGCTCGACCGCCAAGTCGCGGGGTCGGTGGAAGTTCTCTGTGCGCGTGCGGACACCGCTCTCACCCCCAGCCTCCGGAGCGTTCCGAGGGCGATTATCGGTGATGAAGGCTGCTTCGAGCTCTATGGCTGGGACATCCTGATCCGTCAGGATCCGAAACTGTAAGGGTGTTAATAAACATGCAAGGGGTTATAGTATCAGCCCAGCTTGTGCTCGCAGGCTGGCTGCAGTGAGCCAGTCTGGAGCTGCACGTGAAGTGTAGAGAGGTGTGAACTGTCTTACACGAAGGGAGCTGCTGCCTGGAAGGGTGCCGCTGCTTCGGCTCGGAGTATCAGGATTTATTCACCGGGTGCAGCACCCTGTAACTTTGTCTGTCGCATCTCTAGCACTGTGCTGCGAAACCCTGCTGCTCACAGCATTTGCCAGGGGCAGAGGGTCACCCTCACCTCTTCTCCTGCGCTGTATATCTTACAGCAGTGCCCCATCAGCACTGATCAGCCTCAGCCGGTGCCATTTAGCTGCCAGCACCGAACACAGCCCAGTGTCTGGGGTCTGCTGCTACAAGGCTGACCCCACCTGAAAGAAGTCCCTCCTGCTAATTGGGGAAAAAAGGGCTCCACAGGAGTTGAGGGTATTTAAAACAAAACAACAACAAAAAAAACCTTTAAAACATAATTTGACTCTAGATTTATTTATTTTTTTAAATACAGCTTTTCTCACTGGCTGAGTGAAAACTGTGTATCACTGAGGCTCAGCTGAAATTCTCAGAATTTAATCTGCTCCATACGCAACCCAGGTATTGCAACAGCAGGAACCCGAGAGCGCAACTGGCCTGTCGTTACAGGAGTTGAGAAAACCAGAAAGAGCAAATAGTACTTCAGAAGTGACAAGACAATAGGATTCTTATTCTTCCAGCCTTAATCATGTAAAGCGCAAGCAGTACCGTAGGTGAGGAAATTTCCCTTAGGTATGGTTTGTGGTGACGGTGCTCTCCTACGAAATGTCTTCTGTAATTTATTTTTTTAACTCTTTCCTCTAACAAGACGTGGTGGCTGACACACCTGTGACAGCCCTGTGTCCTGTCAGCATCAGTCCAATGTTTCACGCGGTGCCGCTGGGGACAGCTTTATTTCAGCTGTGGTCCCGGAGAGCTCTCATTTGCATTGCCTACTCAGTTCTCAGCCTCAACCCAAATTACTGCTTAGGCAGCCTGCAGGTAAAGAGCTGGAGTGACTTCAGTTGGTTGGGAAGCGAATGAAGCGGAGTGAAAGTCCTCGATGTTGTCAGAGTGCTCGGAGAGCGCGGCCGGGAGAGCTACTGCGTTGTACTGGTCCCAGGAGACATCGGCGTTCTGCCACTAAAAAAAGGGTTAATGCTCATTCTGTGAATTCTCAGCATTTACTGCTTCAGCTAGACTTTGGTTTTCACTCGGGTGTCTTTCTGGAAGCTAGAGGGATTTTTTTTTTTCTTTAGTACCATCGAGAACAGGAATAGAAACTTTGCAATAAGCTCAGAATGTTCTTTGGCTCGGTGCATGGGAAAGAGATTTGGGGTTGGATTTCCTATTGCCTCACACTTACTCCTGCCTGCTAGCAGGGTAATGATTTTGCAGACAGGCGTTTCTCTTAGATGAAACTTTGGCAAAACTGCCCATTTCTCCATAATTTACTGTTGTTCTATCTCCTCAGCTGCCTTCTGGAGGTAAATGCTTCACCTTCCCTCGCTGCCAGTGGCCGGGAAGACTATGAACTCAAGTGTCAGCTTCTCAAAGGCACACCTCGTGGTGGACAGGGAGAGCAGGTGGGCAAAGATGTTTTTTACCTTCTAAGGGGTTATTATTAAACCGTTTGGAATGGATGGTGTTGTTCCATGTCTGTCTTGGCAAGTAATACTCCAACCTTTACAGTGATTAAGTGATGAATTTCCAGAAACAGAGCAAAGCGAGCACGCTGCCACTTCGGAGTGGGGAAACAAAGCAGCACGGGGCTGCGAAGGGAAGGGAGACCGTGTCAGAGCTGGGACTTGCTCAAGAGCTCCCTTTCAGAGGCCCTTCTGCGTTGTGCCTCCCACACTGGCCGCTTCTGGAGGGCTCTGTTCCAAGCAGCTTGTCTTGCAGCCTTTTGTGATTCACGCTACAACTGTGCTAACCTCAGACACTAATAGTAGAAAGATGTCCACTGCTTCCAGCTGTCCAGCTTTGTCTCTTAATTGCCTGGGAGTTTATTCCTGTGCACAGACAGATAATTGTCATCGCTCAGGTCCTTCAGTACGTGTGTCTGATGTTGTAGGCTGCCAGGGAAGGAGAAGCGTGTTGGGGGCTTTGACCTGATACAGAACAATGGGCCTGTCAGCAGAGGGGGAGACCTGGGTGCTCCAGTGAATGAGAACATCACGGCAAACACACATTTAGGGTGCCCTGCCCATGCCCCTGAGCTATGGGAGGAAGAGGAGAGCACACACCTTTCACTGGAGAACAAAAGAACAAGAACAGGCCTGTGAGCTCGTAATCCCATAAGAGACCAAAAGGAGCAAGTGCCCTCCAAAAGTGGATGTAAGCGACCAGGCTGCAGGAGCACCGCTGGAAACAAGCGTGCACATGTAGTGGGAACAGTTTGGTTCACAGTCCTGCTTTTCAAGTGTTCAGTCCCAGCTTTGCTGCCAAAACTGCTCTGCAGGCAGTGCGGTGACGGCTCACCGGGCACCTCCCCAGGGCAGGTGGGTGTTTCACTGTTGGGAAGCAGAACTCGGATTCTGAAGTCACCCTTCCAAGAGGCTGACATGTATTGTAATTTTATTTCGCAGTACTCAACCCGGTGTGCCTACAATCATCTCTGGCTGTAGTTTCCAACTAACAAAACACGAGTACAGCTTCACCTGAAAGCGGGAGATGACCTCACCTCTGCAGGGAGGAGTGGCGTGGTGCGTAAGTCCCCAGTTAACGTTCTCATTGCAGGGTGCTACGATGACAGGAAGAAACTGAAGCAGCTTTTCAGGAATCTTCCCGCGCAGCAGAAAGCGTAATGCTGATCCCGAGCTTGGGATGGGAGAGGTGACCATGGACGAAGTTCACTCTCTCTTCCTCATGAAGTCCAGTGGCAGTTCCCACTTCTCTCTGGGCGCTGCTGGCTCAGCACAAGACGCTGACCTTCTTGCTTCTAAAGGTTCCCCAGCCCAGAAGCTGCAATGAGCGTGGATGAGGCATTTCCTAACGGCTGACACAAGACACAAAGGATGGTGGCATCTCGGCTGTCCATCTGCACTGGCACAGCTTAGATCCATACCACGTAGGAAAACTGAAGGGCTAAACACACTCTGCACGGCAAAACGAAGCTTTTAGGGAAGGCAGGCACCTGATCCTCCTACTGCTACTACTATGGAAACATGGCAGAGCAGAAAACCTGTTGCCACGCTACTGTAAAAATAACCTCGGCACCAGACGGCGGCTGCACTACGCCGGGTAGGGAAGAGTGCGGCTGCAACGGCGCCCGGCACTGCCGCTCGCTTCCACAGGAGAGGCAATTTTCTGGAAAAGCTACAGGCAGGACAGTTCAGGTAATAAGGTGTATCTGAAACTTAAGCCCGAAGCAGCCAGCCTGGCTTCTCGCAGTGGCACATTTAGGGCATGTGGCGTTAACTACGGAATTTTACATCTCGGATCAAGCGATGGCGGTTGGCTTTTTAAAGAAAACACAGTTTTAAGGAGTCTGAAACGGGGCATTTTTTTGGAACTCTGTATAACGTGAAGCATGTGTGAACTGGACAAGGCAGCGCAGGGCTGGCTGGAGGAGGCACCTCTGCCCCCGGGGCTGGAGGGCGGTCAGGGAACGGGGGCACCGCGGTGGGAAACGGCGGAGCCGCGTTTGGTCTCACGTGGCGGTGCAGACCCTGCCGAGGGGGACGGCAGGGGAGGCCAGGCCAGCTCCGTGGTAGGTGTGCAAGGATGGTCAGGACGGGCGAGCTGCCTCCAGAGCTGGAGAAATGAGGACAACTGCTGCATTTTAAAGTTTTTAAAATCGAGCCAGAAATACCTTTACAGAAGTTCAACAAAGAAAGGGCTTGGCAGGACCCAGACACTTCCCTGTACACAGGAAAAAATCCAACTCGCTGTAGTCCATTAATAATTGTGATTAATTCTTAAAAATCTTCTTGTGTCAGGGTAGCAAGTTCTGACTAAGGAGGGTGGTGTAGAAGACCATAAACGGTAAAACCTTTGAAGAAACCATCACTGGTTAAATCAGTTGTCCTTTCACTACGAGATGGGCTCAGTGACTATTCCTGCTCAGCCCTCTTCAGGCTGCTTTTTAAAATACATCTAAAATACATACATTTTATCCCTTCATCTACTTTTGAAAGCCTCTGTGGTCTCTCGCCTTCCAACTTAACAGCAAAACATGTTTTCCCCGCGAGACTAAAAGGATGCTGCCTCCTCCTGTCCCTCCCTACACATCTTTAAAGAGATTCCTGACGTGCCTCAGATGTACAGTTTGGCTTTGTTTTAATACCACAGGCACACACAATTCCTCCTCTATGCTTGGGGCACGCTGTGGAATCCCAATTCCTCCTACTCCTGTTCCCGACGCGACAATGAACCAGCTCTGAAGTGAAACTCCAGAAGCACTGGCATAAAAACACAGACATACACACACGGAGTTAGCAATGCCCCCCTGCTCCGATTTTAATAATCCCACTTCCACCCCGGCCACGGGTGTTTGCCCAGCGCTGTGTCCCAGCCCGCGGCTCTGCCACTCGGAAGGGCTTGTGATCCCAGGAAACT